GTGTCTGTGAATCTACTGGAGTAGTATAGTTGTTTGGCTTTCTTTATTACTTTGGTGAGAACTGATGAATAGTGTTTAAGAATATCTTTGTGTATTATGCCCTGTCTATATTGCTTTTCATATTGGTGTTTCTTGTCAATGAATTTCAGAATGGTGCTGGTTAGCCATGGACAACCAAGCCGTTTGTTTGTGATCTGTTTCGTTTTTATAGGACAATGTTTGTTGTATAGTCTAAGTAATTTGTTAAGAAAAATGTCTGTCCAGTCATCAATACCACTGGCCTTGGAGAATTCTGTAGGCCGGTCAACAGTCTCTAGGTCGGCTGTGAACTTCCTTATTGAGGCCTCGTCATGGTGTCTAAATGAGACTTTGTTGTATTCAAGTGGTGGTTTACTAATGTTTGTCAGGAGGAAGGTAGGGTAGTGGTCTGTTGTGCTATCTGTGATTATCCCTGATTTAAGGGGGGCTAGTATATTGGTCCATATATGGTCTATTATGGTTGCACTTGTCTCAGTGAGCCTGGTTGGTTTAGTTATTGTTGGTATGAGAAGTGTGTTGTTCATATTGTTGATGAAATCAGTTACAGGCTGATCAACTAGTAAGCCAAGGTTGATGTTGAAGTCTCCAGCTAAGAGAAGGTGGTGCTTATTCATTTGTCTGTTTGTTATTAGTGACTTTAATTTCACATTGAAATTTGGGATGTTTGTGTGAGGTATCCGGTAAATGGCACCGATTGTTTTAGGTGTCTTAAGGTTTTTTACAGTAAAATTAGCAAAAATGTATTCCCCATATTCATCACTAAAGCAAGTGGTGCTAATACAAGAAAATTGGTTAGAGTAATAGACTGCAATACCACCCCCAACTTGGTTTGGTCTGCAGTTGTGAATTGCTGTGTATCCTGGTAGAGGGTAGATATCTATTGTGTCCTGCTTAAGCCAGGTCTCAGTAAGAATAATGCAGGAGAAGGGTGTCTTTAGTGATTCAAGGAGTGCCAGGAGGTCATCATAGTGCTTGCTTAAGGACCTGATGTTGTAGTTAAGTACTGATAGACATTTAGCATTGTTTAGGATAGTGCTGGCTTGTGATGCTGTGTAATAAAGGCAGTTACTTTCCAATAGGTTTTGATTGGGTGTCAGATTATGGAGGTTTAGATCAGGGTCAATGTGATCAATCATCTTCTAGGTTTAAATTATAGTTATTTATATCCTGAGTTGTGTGTTGAGTTCTAGTACTGATATCTGTAGTGGTGGGAAGTTTGGACAAGTATATAGCTAGAGTATTTTGGTCATGTAGGGTATAGTCACTACTACACATAATGAAGTTGATGTTGTCTATGTGTTGTGCTGAAATGAACTAAAGTACAACTAGGTATAAACTAGTAATATAAAAATACAAATTAAAAATAGAACAAGACTCTCACTTGTAATTGCACTATGGTCTAATATAATGAATTTGGTATTGACTATGTATTGAGCTACAATGAGCTATAGTACAACTGAGTTTAATCTACTAATATAAAAAAAGGCACAAGACTCTCAATTGTAATTGGTTGATGTGCGCTTCAGGAGATGTGCCAGGTGTTATACTCACCCCAAGATCTTTTTCCCTGAGTGAGATTTGTAGTCTCTGGCCCCCTAGATTGTACTCCGTCTGCGGTCTTCTTTGCCCTTTCCCAATCTTCATGACTTTGCACTTGGTGGGGTTGAACTCCATGAGCCAATTGCTGGACCAGGTCTGCAGCCTGTCCAGATCCCTCTGCCTGGTTTGTGTACTCACCTAATTGTACTCACCTAATTGTAATCACCTAATTGTGGTTGCAGGTGTCGAGACACAGCTCCTGCCCCCCCTCTTCACTGATCGCTACTAGGTCCTCTCTCTCTCTGCTTCCAAAGCTTTGTCATACCTCATCTTAAAGCTATGTATGGTTTCTGCCTCCACTACATCACTTGTTAGGCTATTTCACTTCCTGACGACTCTATGACTGAAGAAATACTTCCTAACATCCCTATGACTCGTCCGAGTCTTCAGCTTCCAATTGTGAACCCTTGTTTCTGTGTCCCCTCTCTGGAACCACCTGTCTCTGTCTACCTTATCTATTGCATGCAGTATTTTGTATGTCGTTATCATGTCTCCCCTAACCCGTCTGTCCTCCAATGTCGTCAGTCCGATTTACCTCAGCCTTTCTTCATAGGACATACCCCTGAGCTCCGGAACTAGCCTTGTTGCAAACCTTTGCACTTTCTCTAATTTCTTGACTTGTCTGACCAGGTGTGGGTTCCAAACTGGAGCTGCATACTCCAGTATGGGTCTGATGTACGCAGTGTACAGTGTCTTGAACGATTCCATACTAAGGTATCGGAACGCTATTCTCAGGTTTGCCAGGCGCCCGTATGCTGCAACAATTGTCTGGTTGATGTGTGCCTCCAGAGACATGCTCGGTGTTATGGTCACCCCAAGATCTTTCTCCTTGAGCGAGGTTTGCAGTTCTTGGCCACCTAGTCTATATGTAGATAGCCTGTACTGTCTACACAGACAGCCTATGCTTCTGCCAGCTTAGTTCATATTTTGTGCCATGCTGGTGCTGCCACCTATAGGCCTATGCCACTTCAGTATGCCCAGACGTACCCCTGTCTCAGTCTGGCTGCTCACGTCACTCAGTCAAGAGTTTGACTCCTCTCTCCCTCGTGGGCATGGCCCGCTCCTGGGCTATGAGCACACAACACACAACAAGCCTGTGTACACACCACAACATTATAAATAAAGTAAAGAAGCCTCTGAAGACGATGTATCATTGAACCCCGCTCTGCCGCATTACCAAATAATTCTAGTTCACATTGGTGGGAAGCGGTGGTCGCAGCAGTTGTGTTTGCCCGGAGAGAGGAAGGAAGAGGGATGAAGTCATCACTTCATCACCCTACACTAGAAACATCAGTCTCTCAACGAGTTATCCTGATGTTGTGTCTGCACGTTTCAGCATCCAGACACAGGTACAAGCAGGATCTAGCCGAAATTTGCCGAATTTCTTCGAGAAATATAAGTGGCGTCCCAGTGACCCCACACTGTACAGCGTCCAACGCTGTTTCTCAAGTCATGTGTTCAGCATCACTTGTATGTTCTGTTGTTGTTCAGCTCAGCACAGCTATTTCAGCAAGCCAGAGGTGAGTTTTGTGGTGATTTATGCGTCCAATGTGAGTTTCTCCACGTGTTTGTGGGAGAGGAGGAAGTGGTCGTTCCTTGCCTCGTCCATGCTCGTCCTGCTGTACTCTCACACCTCACCAGCCTATCATACACCACTCACCACTGCTCACTCCCTCTGCTGTGTTTTCAGCTGTTTTTGTGTGAATTCTTTGTCAGAACTGCACATCTGAGTGCCCGAGGCCACTCAAAGCCACATGGATCACGAAGCCACGTGGATCAGCAAGCCATGTGGATCAGCAAGCCACGCAGATCAGCAAACCATGCGGATCAGCAAGTCACGTGGATCAGCAAGCCATGTGGATCAGCAAGCCACGTGGATCAGCAAGCCATGTAGATCAGCAAGCCATGTAGATCACGATGCCACGTGGATCCCGATGCCACGTGGGGTGTGGCCGATGTCATGCAGATCTACTATCCACATGGGTTACCAAGCCAGATGTCCCAGGCCACATGCTGTGGTCTGTTGCCCACTTCACGACGTCACCCACGATGCTGCCCGACTTCATGACGTCACAATGTTCTGCCTGACGTCACCTCGAGATGTCTTCTGACGTCACAGTACTGCTGACGTCACCTCGCGACGTCATGCCTGACATCATATGATGTCACATTGAGTGTTTAAGTAATTATTTCAGTATTGTCGAGAAGATTGAGAGAAGATATATATCATGTGTTAATGAATTCCTCTCAGTCTTCTCACATGTTACTGTATAGCTTAGTGTCAGTTTTGTGCACAGAAAAGCATCATTTGCTAGTTTAAGCCATGTTGTAATGCATGTAATGCGGGTGTGTGTAAAGTTTGCCATGTGTCCAGCGAGGTCTGCGGTCAGTCCCCTGTGTAGCACCTTGTGTTAGTCACCCGGTGTGACCAGCATGTTTGACAGCTGATATCAGTCAGTCTGGGACCTAGCCTCCTTGTACAGAAAGCTCTTATGCTCGTCTCTCATAGATGTTCTGCAGAATCGTACCTGCTAAGATTCCCATCGAGATTTGTTTCACTTCACCTCCAGACCTTCAGAGCGCAGTTATATGTAGAGAAACAAGTCTGGGGACGCTTAGACTAACCTCTGCTATAAATCCAACTGCCGAGAGAATGACACTCATCAAGCCGCAGTTAGCCCTGTCGGCAGGCGCTGCGTCAGCCTCGTGTCATAGCTTCAGTGAGCAGCCTGCACGAAGATGATGTCACTTTGACTGCTACCTCGCTCACTGCAATCTGGTGTATGATGTTACGACTCCCAGATATTTTGCCCAGTCGTCTCTACCACGACTCGCTCCACGACTCACTCCATGCTCGCTGGCAGTGACAGCTCAGCGACAGTACCAGTCGAGAAGTGTCCTCCTGAGTCACTTGCCAGAAGTCCTGCCAGTTGCCGAGTTTTGACGACGCCTCACTTGAGGGCACCAGCATGTCATGACCCAGGTAGAGTGAAACCCTGCAGCAACCCCTACGATGACTGCTTCACCGTTCCAGAGGAGACCGTAACCAGTTATGTCACAGCTCAGCCGCAGCGATGTCTCCTGTGTTGCAGTATCTGTCCAGATGCAGGAAGGCGGGCAGTGATGCCCATCGACGCTCACTGCCTTTGACCACAATGTTTAGCACACCCACATGCTTTTTTCTTCCCTCCCTGTAGGAAGTTTTTTTTCCATGTCCATATGTATATATATGTTTTTTATTTTGTGTTCTATGCCCTGTTCCTACGAGAGAGAGACCAAGTTTTTTTACCACCAGTATTGTCGCGTCTGCATAGACAGCCTATACTGTCTGCCAGCTTAGTTCATATTTTGTGCCATGCTAGTGCTGCTACCTATAGGCCTATGCCACTTCAGTATGCCCAGACCTACCCCTGTCTCAGTCTGGCCGCTCACGTCACTCAGTCAAGAGTCTGACTCCTCTCTCCCTCGTGGGCATGGCCCCCTCCTGGGCCATGGGCACACAACACACAAGCCTGTGTACCCACCACAACATTATAAATAAAGTAAAGAAGCCTCCGAAGACGACGTATCATTGAACCCCGCTCTGCCGCGTTCAGCTATCAATAATCTCGTTCACATATACTCTGTCTGCGGTCTTCTTTGCCCTTCTCAGATCTCCATGACTTTGCACTTGGCAGGATTTAATTCAAGAAGCTGGACCACGTGTCCAGCCTGTCCAGGTCTCTTTGAAGTCCTGCCTGGTCCTTATCTGATTTAATTCTCATCATTAACTTCACATCATCTGTGAACAGGGACACCTCTGAGTCTATCCTTTCCATCATGTCATTCACATATACCAGAAATAGCACTGGTTCTAGGACTGACCCTTGTGGGAACCCGCTCGTCACAGGTGCCCACTGTGATACCTCATCCCGTACCATTACTCGTTGTTGCCTCCCTGTCAGGTATTCTCTGATCCATTGCAGTGTCCTTCCTGTTTTACACGCCTGATCCTATAGTTTCTGCACTAGTCCCTTGTGAGGAACTGTGTTGAAGGCCTTCTTGCAGTGTGTGTGTGTGTGTGTGTGTGTGTGTGTGTGTGTGTGTGTGTGTGTGTGTGTGTGTGTGTGTGCGTGTGTGTGTGTGTGTGTGTGTGTGTGTGTGTGTGTTTACCTGGAGTTTACCTGGAGAGAGTTCCTGGGGTCAACGCCCCCGCGGCCCGGTCTGTGACCAGGCCTCCTGGTGGATCAGAGCCTGATCAACCGGGCTTTTACTGCTGGCTGCACGCAAACCAACGTACGAGCCACAGCCGGGCTGGTCAGGAACCGACTTTAGGTGCTTGTCCAGTGCCAGCTTGAAGACTGCCAGGGGTCTGTTGGTAATCCCCCTTATGTATGTTGGGAGGCAGTTGAACAGTCTCGGGCCCCTGACACTTATTGTATGGTCTCTTAACGTGCTAGTGACACCCCTGCTTTTCATTGGGGGGATGTTGCATCGTCTGCCAAGTCTTTTGCTTTCGTAGTGAGTGATTTTCGTGTGCAAGTTCGGTACTAGTCCCTCTAGGATTTTCCAGGTGTATATAATCATGTATCTCTCCCGCCTGGCATTCCAGGGAATACAGGTTTTAGGAACCTCAAGCACTCCCAGTAATTGAGGTGTTTTATCTCCGTTATGCACGCCGTGAAGGTTCTCTGTACATTTTCTAGGTCAGCAATTTCACCTGCCTTGAAAGGTGCTGTTAGTGTGTAGCAATATTCCAGCCTAGATAGAACGAGTGACCTGAAGAGTGTCATCATGGGCTTGGCCTCCCTAGTTTTGAAGGTTCTCATTATCCATCCTGTCATTTTTCTAGCAGATGCGATTGATACAATGTTATGGTCCTTGAAGGTGAGATTCTCCGACATGATCACTCCCAGGTCTTTGACGTTGGTGTTTCGCTCTATTTTGTGGCCAGAATTTGTTTTGTACTCTGATGAAGATTTAATTTCCTCGTGTTTACCATATCTGAGTAATTGAAATTTCTCATCGTTGAACTTCATATTGTTTTCTGCAGCCCACTGAAAGATTTGGTTGATGTCCGCCTGGAGCCTTGCAGTGTCTGCAATGGAAGACACTGTCATGCAGATTCGGGTGTCATCTGCAAAGGAAGACACGGTGCTGTGGCTGTGTGTGTGCACTCTCTTTCTCTTTCTCTCTCTCTGTCTTCATGCATCATGGCTGCCTCACTCACCCATCTGCTTCTGTTACATTATCATGTGGCGACAGGAAAAGTGCACAGAGTGGAGAAGGGAATGAAGAAGGGAGGGGTTAGGGAATGAGAGGGCATGTGGGAGTGGAGAGGGAAGGGAAGGGAAGGAGGAGTATGGGAAGAGAGGGAATGAATGAGATAGTCTTAATGACCCTCGTGTAGTAGATAGTCTTAATAGTATGATAATAAGATATTATCTTCATTATAGAATAATAATAAGATATTATCACCTTGATATTATTAATAAGGTAAAAGAACCCCAGTGGAAATAAGTCACTCTGTCTGACTTTTTTGGGTTATCCCAGGTTCTCTACACATATGCTGCTATGTATGATAATCTATATAATTGTATTTGTGTATACCTGAATAAATTTACTTACTTAATGGGAGGGAAGAGGTAGAGGGGAAGGAGGTGATATGCCTTTGTAACCATAGCAGTTACACGGCGCTTCAGTGATGCAAAGGTCACCTCACCACAAATGTAGCAGAAGTTGTCTACCATATTCACACAAGTACGAACCATCTGAAAGAAGAAAACTAAAAACAATTAAAAGATAAAAAAATTATTCATTAATTTATCATTACAATACAGAGCATGACAGCTAAGCAGAAGTATTTACATCATTCAGTAGAAAAATAAAATTAATATAATATGCCTCACATGCATATCAATAACTTGCTCAGTGAATATTCATCGACACCATGCCCAGCCCTTCTAGGGCAGGGTAGGTGCCTGAGCCCGAGCCTTCAGCTCATAAGACTGTCATTCCCATTTGCCCCCTTGGGACGGAGATGGCAGACCAGAGAGGCCTAGCTTGTGGCTAGGCCTGGGGACAGTTGGTCCCAAAGATGAGGAGGTACTTGTGCCTCCTCCCATGGGAGACCTAAGTCTCAGACACTCCCTAAAGAGGGAGCCAAGGCCGGGCCACCACTTGGAAAAGGCCCGGGCCGGGAGAATACCGGCTAATCTTTAATAATAATAATAAATAACAGTGAATATTCATCGACACCATGCCCAGCCCTTCTAGGGTAGGGTAGGTGCCTGAGCCCGAGCCTTTAGCTCATAAGACTGTCATTCCCATTTGCCCCCTTGGGCGGGGATGGCAGACCAGAGGGGCCTAGCTTGTGGCTAGGCCTGGGGACAGTTGGTCCCAAAGATGAGGTACTTGTGCCTCCTCCCATGGGAGACTTAGGTCTCAGACACTCCCAAAAGAGGGAGCCAAGGCCGGGCCACAACTTGGAAAAGGCCCGGGCCGGGAGAATACCGGCTAATCTTTAACTAATTAACTAACTCAGTGAATATTTATTATAAGTTTAAAAAGTTTTGGCTAAAAAAAAGCATTACCTTTCCCCCCAAAAATATAAACTTGCAGAGAAACCACCTTCTATGGACTGCGGGAACATTTTTAGGATAAAAAATTACAAATTTTAATTGGTCAACGGAGCGGGCGGTCAGTTTTATTAATTGGTGGAACATAGCCAGGGATCCTCTAACTGACCCACGTGGCTTTCTCGTTTTTCAAGATGAGGGAACCATCACAATCTTTTTTTATGATTGTACATAAAACTTAGAACTTTCTTTTTCATTTTAAGGGTGGTTTTTTCATGTTTTATTTTCGCAATAATCTTTGTCCTGAAACGGGAATTAGGCGTGGGATGATCCCCCACGGGAAAAAGAAACCCGCCCACTGAATAAAGGGGACGTCATCCACTGGAGTAACAGTCCACAAAATGGAGGGAAATCTACCCATAAAAGTGACGATTCACCACATGGGACGTCCCCCCACGAAGTGACATTCACCCACAGGAGTGACGATCACCTACTGGAGTGACGTTTTCTACCCACGGAGTGCGATCTACCCACGGAGTGAGGAGAGCAGTCGTGCCTAATAGACGTCCTCCTGGGTCTCACAAGAAATGGAAAAAAATTTATACTTTAAATTTTTTAAAGGGGTTTTTGGACCGTAACCCAGCGGAAGGCCTGGGTAGGAAACACTTGTTTCTTTTTGAAAAACCCTTTTACCTAACGTTCCTTTGGTCCCCTTTTAAAAAAACCCCAGCATCCCATGCCTGTTTTAGGGCCTTCAGGGCGAATTGTTTTCCCTCGCTGCCCCCCAACCCCCCACGAGTGTGGGGGTATTGGCCAGTCTCAAAAAACCTACTGCTTCTGTTGTCCAACATAGGCAGATACCTAGAAAGAGTTAGTCGAGTGTTTTAAGTCGCACCCTGGGAAAGGGATTTAAAGGGGGGAGACCAGGGGGAAAATTTGGCGAAAACATTGGGTGTGTGATTGTGTGTATTGATTAACTTTACTGAGTTATCTTGGTTACTAATCTAGGGGGTTAATTTAAATTGAACACATTTTTGTCTTTTTTTTACTCAATTAGCAGTGTGTTTTGGGAAATGAAAATAGCAGAGTTTCCTATGTCTTATGTTCTTTCGAAGATACACCCAAAAAAAAACAAATTTCAGGGAAGCTATAAACTTTTTGAACTACAAGTAAACATTGAGAAACGAAGATAAGATAAGATTTGTTGGATTATTAACCCCAGAGGGTTACCACCCAGTATACCCAAAAGGCAGTGCGTCATAACGAAGACGTATTCGGATTTTTTCCCTTTTAAAAGGCAAAAAACCAAAAAACTAAAGAAGTCTAACATGTGTTGTAGATTATTTGATACTTTTAGGCCCTTGAGGTTACTGGGCCCCGACTCGACACAGGTACCTTTTTGCTCCTAGGTAAGCGGGGGGTATATAGCTTGTCCTGCCCCGCTCGTAGGGATTAAACCTCTTTTTTTAAATTTTATCGCTACGGGTGCACCTTATTTGAACGTTCGATACGGGAAACTTAAGGGTAATGGAAATTTCATGTAAATAAAACTAGCCTAGAAAAAAAGACAAAATCAGAATAATGTCTAGGTGAGTAATAATGCAAACATGTTTTCTCGCTTTCATCAATGACGATCGACCCCTCTATGCCCGTTTCGAGTCCTCGGCAAGTCTCAGTGTTGTGCCCTCACCTTTTGTTGAAAAAGTGAAGTCACAGCCTGGCCTTGTTCTTCGTGCTTGCACTAGGTTCACTTTCCCCCCTTCCCAAAAATTTTATCGTACATTTTTTTTAACGCTGTGTATGGTCATCCCCTACATCACTCTCCGTTGTCCAAACTTATGACAATCTGGGGACTGACGAAATATTTCCCTAACATTCCTGTGACTCACTGAGTTTTTTACTTCTCTTTGACCTCATTTTCCCGTGTCTCATCTCTAAAACATTCTGTCCTATCCCCCTTGCCCAATTCCCCCCTGCCCTTTTTATGTCGTTAGCAGACCTCCCTATCACTTCTGTTCTCCAGTGTGTCGGGTTGAGCATGTACTCACCTATAGTGGTTGCAGGGGGTCGAGTTTAGCTCCGGGTCCAGTCTTCACGGGCCCCCCCTACTAGGTCATTTTCCTGCTCCACGAGTTTTATCAACGTCTTCTTAAAGCTATGTATGGATCCTCCCCCACTATTCTGAGTCTTAAATTTCCCAATTGTGATCCCTTGTTGTGTTCCCACTCGAAATCCTGTCGTCCCCCTTGTAAATTCCCTCTCAGTATTGCATTGTCTTTTTCTATCCCCCTTATCTCTCCTGTCCTCCAGGCTGTCAAGTCGATTTTCCCCTTAAAAATTTCTCCTCGGAAAGCCCTTAGCTCAGGGACTAGTCTTTTTGCAAACCTTTGCATTTTATTTCCTTACTGTGTGTTGTGTTTTTTTTTTATTTATTATTTTTTTTTTTTAAAGTTAGGGGAAGGGCTTGGGTAAATTTTATCCTCCTTCTTGTAATCATGAGAGCGACGTGCTACCAAAGAAAAAAAAACCCCAAAAATAATTTTTTGCCATTAATTGGGTCCGTAAAAGAAATTAATAACAAGTAAAGTGGCCTCATTTGTGGACAAAATTTATCCACGAGTGATGTGTTGAATTTATGAGGGTGATGATGGTATGGGGTGTTGGGCGGTGCTTAAACCCTTTTTTAATTGTTTTGTTTTATGTTTAATGATTAAAGTTTTGCTCAGATTGTTATTAATAAAAGAAAAAAATTTTCATTGTTAAAAGGGATAATATTTAGAGGCAATGGCAAAAATTTTTTTTTTTCTACTTTTTATAACATTGCATGTGGGTTTTTATTAAAATTTTTTGTTTATAGATGGCTGCGTAAATATGCTTGCATAGCCCAGTAAAATTCCTACTAACAAGTGGTGTGTTGAAAAGGGTTTTCCGCAAGGTTAAAGATTAAATATAGGGGGAAACTTAGCTTGATAGACAGCTTCGCCTACACAACCGCCCCTGCAGGGGAGGTCTTAGAAGCTTATAGCCACTTCTCAATGAGGAAAAAAAATATAATGAAATAAATACCCCCAGGGGGGATTATTTCAGATTTTCCAAAACTGATTGCTCACTGGGGAAAACTTACTTGGTGGACTCAAAAGTCTGCCGATATAGGTTGATTACAACTCTTTGTGACACAACAACTGCACATCCCCCTTTTTACAAAAAAATTTGTAACCCCCTTTTTCTTTTAGCTTTTGGGGTTTTTTTACATCCTCGCAGGGATCGGTGACTTTGTAAAGCTGAAGTGTCTTTCATGCCACGTCTTCCATAGTCTAGGAATTTCACATGGTACCATGTTCCACAAGGTTTTTCTTTATTATTCAAATCTTTTTTCTAAAGAAAACGATCACACTTCTCTGTAAATGTTTATTTTTTTGTGAGACATTCGTTCACAATAAAGCACGGGTCAGTGTTCTTTGTTGGTTTTCCTGGGGTCAGTGTGACTCCCCTAGGGTGAAAAGTAATCTGACCCCACAGCCCCCTACGCCACTGCAATTCCCCTAGAACATAAAGGAAAAGCGACATGCATTTTTTCCTCCTGCCAAACTTCCCCTATGAAACAAAGCAAATGCTTGATTTTTGCTGTCTTAAAAAATGACCAATGTAATATCTTTCCAGGTAATAAAATGGGAACGGATTTTCCCTTTAATTTTCTGCTAAGGAAGAATTTGGGCCCTTTTTATTAAATACACTCTGCAACAGGGCCTTTCAAGGAGCGGCGGCCCGCTTGCCACTCACATACTCGTACTGCATTGGCCCGTTAAAAAAGGCCCCCACTACTTAATTTGGAAAAGAACCTTTAACTGGGAAATGATTCCCCTTAGACAACGCTGAATTTAACATCCAAAAAACAAAACAAAACCAGCTTCCCCAAACGAGTTGTGAATTAAAAATTTAAAAATATACTCACAAAGCCCCCTTGTCCTCCCCGGGAAAAAGCACACAGTACTGTTTAAAATTTCCCCGTTACGGTGACTGTGCAAACAGAACGCAAGAGGAAAAAACATCTTTCAAGAGTGAGGGAAAAGCCATTGGAGTGTGGGAAATTCGTAGGCAGTAGGTAAAAAGAAAAAGGGGGAAGGGAGCCGGGATTGAGGGATAAAGATAGAATGTTAAAGCAGGGGGGGATAAGTTTTGGGTGGTTGGTGCAAATTTTTTAAAAAATGTAGGAAAGGTAAAGGGACCTAGGGGTTGGGAGAGAGCATGCATAGTCCTTTGATAAGGCAAAGGGGATAAAAGAGGTGCAAAAATTTTAGGGGGGAAAGTCTGTTAGTAAAGGTAAAGGTATGGAGAGTTATTTTTGAAAGAATTAAAAGAAGACGGAGAATAGGAACAATGAAAAGGAGGGTTTTGGAAAGGTGGGGGTGGTGGACCAGGTTTTTACAGTGAAAAATAAGGAACGATTAGATAAGGCAAAGAGGTTTGTGGCCTTTATGATTTTGGAAAAGGGGTAGACAGGGTAAGGGGGGGGAAAAGTGGCAGAGTTGCAGGTGTATGGTTAGGGGTAGGTTACTGAAAGATGAAGAGTTTTTTACGAGGGTGGGCTAATTAGAGTATTAGGAAAGGGGAAATTATTTCCCAGTAAAAGTAGGCCTTAGACAAGGATGTGTGATGCACCGTGGTTCTTTAATATATTTATAATGGGGTTGTAAGAGAAGTGAATGCGAGGGTCTTGGCAAGAGGCGTGGAGTTAAAAGTAAAGAATCACCACAAAGTGGAGTTGTCACAGTTTGCTCTTTGCTGATGACACTGTGCTCTTGGGAGATTCTGAAGAGAAGTTGCAGAGATTGGTGGATGAATTTGGTAGGGTGTGCAAAAGAAGAAAATTAAAGGTGAATACAGGAAAGAGTAAGGTTATGAGGATAACAAAAAGATTAGGTGATGAAAGATTGGATATCAGATTGGAGGGAGAGAGTATGGAGGAGGTGAATGTATTCAGATATTTGGGAGTGGACGTGTCAGCGGATGGGTCTATGAAAGATGAAGTGAATCATAGAATTGATGAGGGGAAAAGGGTGAGTGGTGCACTTAGGAGTCTGTGGAGACAAAGAACTTTGTCCTTGGAGGCAAAGAGGGGAATGTATGAGAGTATAGTTTTACCAACGCTCTTATATGGGTGTGAAGCATGGGTGATGAATGTTGCAGCGAGGAGAAGGCTGGAGGCAGTGGAGAGTCATGTCTGAGGGCAATGTGTGGTGTGAATATAATGCAGAGAATTCGTAGTTTGGAAGTTAGGAGGAGGTGCGGGATTACCAAAACTGTTGTCCAGAGGGCTGAGGAAGGGTTGTTGAGGTGGTTCGGACATGTAGAGAGAATGGAGCGAAACAGAATGACTTCAAGAGTGTATCAGTCTGTAATGGAAGGAAGGCGGGGTAGGGGTCGCCCTAGGAAAGGTTGGAGGGAGGGGGTAAAGGAAGTTTTGTGTGCGAGGGGCTTGGACTTCCAGCAGGCATGCGTGAGCGTGTTTGATAGGAGTGAATGGAGACAAATGTTTTTTAATACTTGACGTGCTGTTGGAGTGTGAGCAAAGTAACATTTATGAAGGGGTTCAGGGAAACCGGCAGGCCGGACTTGAGTCCTGGAGATGGGAAGTACAGTGCCTGCACTCTGAAGGAGGGGTGTAAATGTTGCAGTTTAAAAACTGTAGTGTAAAGCACCCTTCTGGCAAGACAGTGATGGAGTGAATGATGGTGAAAGTTTTTCTTTTTCGGGCCACCCTGCCTTGGTGGGAATCGGCCAGTGTGATAATAAAAAAAAATGACCCAGCGCTGATTCCGCTACACTCTTTACTAACCCATCTTACATTTTGTTATTGAGGACGTAGTGTCAGCGCTAGGTCATGTGTGAATTTAATGTGTTCTGATTTTAAGGGCATAGTCACCGTGGAGCGGCAACTGGCTAGATGTTGTCAACATACATAATTACTGTGTTGACCTGGGATAGTTTACAAGCATGTTTCAAACTTTCACAGGTATTGCTGTCTTCAGAGTTTTGAGTAATATATTGTAAAGTAAAAGGACACAAGTGCAACTAATATATTTAATTATGATTACTCGTGTATTACACTGACAATAATTACAATTTCCGACTATTATTTATCATGCAGACTATTAATATATTTGCACAAGACATCTTTACTCAGGAAAGTGCACTCTACCAAATCCTGAGGTTTGTGACCAGAGGTTTGTTGGTTCGGTTAATAACCTTAAGATGAAAAATTAGTCTCATGTACAGCTTTATTGTAGATGTTTCACCATCCAGTGGCTTCATCAATACAAATTCAAGGACTACACACAAAAGACGAAGTAATCAGTCCCTCAGCCTTGAAGTTGGTGAAGAGCACCGGTGTAACATCGTCATATACAACCCCGCTGGAAGCTTATACATAGAGAGAGAGAGAGAGAGAGAGAGAGAGAGAGGAGAGAGAGAGAGAGAGAGGGCAAGAGCAAGCACGGTGGTAAAAATCAAAACACATCCAAGTTGAGAGTCAGCATGACTCTCAACTTGTGCTTATCAGGCAAGACTTGCAGAGACATCCAGCCGGGATGGTACACTCATCAAAGTTGAGAGTCAGTGTGACTCAACTTGGATGAGTGTACCATCCCGGCTGGATGTCTCGGCAAGTCTTGCCTGATAAGCACAAGTTGATAATGTGGTCAGCAGTCTGCTTTACAACCTCTGCCACCTCAAACGTGTGCTAGAGCATCCCACGATCTCAGTTTCTCAAGATCGTCGCAGCATCCCTCGAAAGTGACAATAACGCAACTTTTAAGTACAGCATCTCATTATGGATTACGGACGATTCTTCTCTCAGGTGGCCCTCCGTCGCGAACCCAGCGCTGTGTCAACGTTAAGTAAGATCTTTAGATTATTTTAATTAATACTGATGCTGAGGTCAGATTAACATTGTGAACAATTTCTCTCTCTCTCTCTCTCGTGACTCACGAAATCATAATAATACGATTTCAAATAATCTGGTCTGGAATTTTAGGACATAACATAAAAACTGAGGAAAATGCTATAAACCTTAGTAATAAATACCGACAAATTCGTTTAGAAAAGCACATAAGCAAACACTAGGACATATTTATTAGAAAACGTTTCGGTCCTGGGACCTTGATCACTTCTAACATATAGAGGTTAAAAAGACAGTATATAGAGGCGAAGAGTGAGGTATGAGCGACGAATGGTGACCTGAAGAATTCCAAATTAAACCACGGAACGGGTGAGGATTGAACTTACGGCAAGTGAGTCGTAAAACAACAGACCAGTGCGTAAGCCACTGGGTCAGCTGGCTACAAAATGATTCATCCAACTAGGTATATTTATATACCAAAGGGAGGTTAGCATGTGTAAAGCTGTGACCACAAATGCAAGTTTATATAGATAAATCTCCCGCCAGCGTAACCGTGATGAACTCTAGCTCAAGTCCCCTCAAAGCCGTCATCATGACTCACGAAATCGTAATGACATGACTGCATACAAACCAGGGTACGGGTGGGGATTGAACTCACTACAAGTGATTCTTTACGACTCGTGTCATTACGATGAGGACAGGTACACAATATAGCTTCCAGTATTACGTTCTTTGGTATCGCTGACGGTAATTAGCGAGGCTTCCAGACATAATGGGCGTCTAAAGTCTTGTTTGATGAGGACGAATCGTGTCTCATCCCAATTCATTAAATGTCCCGTGGAGTCCTTGTGGAGGACACAGGCGTACTTTAAGTCGTATCTGTTGCTGGCATTTCGATGTTCACTCAGTCGGACCAATATATCTCTGCCTGTTTCCTCTACATATTTCTTGGGACAGTATCCACAGGGGATGGCGCAGACGTCCGCTGTGGAAGTTAGAGGTGTGGATCTGCGTTTCGTAATTAGGTCTTTGATAGATGATATGTTAATGGTGGAAACATTTATGTTGCTCTTAGCAAGTACCTGGCGAGTATTTGCGGCAACATCACGACATGAAAGTACTGCTTGGAGGACTGTTCCATGGGGGATATCTTGAGGATAGCTTGTGCCTTGAGTCTGCAATCCCGGATAAAGAGAAGTGAAAACTGAAGACGTGTGAAGTCTTGTGCTATGTAAATACATTCTTCTTCAATGAAACAAGGGCTGGAAATGCAAAGAACTCTAAAAAAGAAGCGAATTGCAACACCTCTTTTAGTGAGGGTGTCTTGGTGCGAATAGAAGTGTATAAGATCGTCCCTGTTTGTAGGCTTTCTATACACTTTGCAGGGAAGTTTGTCACTGTTGGGAGACCTATACAAGAGAACGTAGGGGAAAGGAAGTTTGCCATCTTTATCGAGTTCTTGTATCAACATTATTGAAGGCTCGACAGCATTGATCTTGTTGATGAAGATCTGGACTTTGCATTTGGCTGGATTGAATTCGAGAAGCCAGTTACTGGACCACATGTCCAGCCTGTCCAGGTCTCTTTACAGTCCTGCCTCATCCTCGTCCGATTTAATTCTTCTCATCAACTTCATGTCATCTGCGAACAGGGACACTTCAGAGTCTATTCCTTCCATCATGTCGTTCACATATATCAAAAATAGCACTGGTCCTAGAACTGACCCCTGTGGGACCCCGCTCGCAACAGGCGCCCACTGTGATACCTCTTCACGTACAATGACTCGTTGCTGCCTCCCTGTCAGGTATTCCCTTATCCATTGCAGTGCCCTCCCTTTTACATGCACCTGATCCTCCAGCTTCTGCACTAATCTTTTGTGGGGAACTGTGTCAAAGGCCTTCCTGCAGTCTAGGAAAACGCAATCTACCCACCCTTCTCTCTCGTGTCTTACTTCTGTTACCTTGTCATAAAACTCCAGGAGGTTTGTGATACAAGATTTGCCTTCCATGAACCCATGCTGGTTTTCATTTATAATCTTGTTCCTTTCCAGGTGTTCGACCACTCTCCTCCTGATAATCTTCTCCATGACTTGGCATACAATTCATGTCAGAGACACAGGTCTGTAGTTTAGTGCCTTGTTTCTGTTTCCTTTCTTAAATATGGGGACTACATTAGCCTTCTTCCATTTCTCAGGTAGTTGCCCAGTTTCAAGGGATGTGTTGAAGATTGTGGTTAGAGGCACGCACAGCATCTCTGCTCCTTCTCTAAGGACTCATGGGGAGATGTTGTCCGGTCCCATCGCCTTTGAGGTGTCAAGGTCACTTAAGAGCTTCTTCACCTCTTCCTCAGTTGTTCGTATGTCATCCAACACTTGTTGGTATATTCCCTCTTGATGTTCCCTTCTGTTCTGTCTTCCCACAGCCCTTCCTGTCTCTACTGTAAAAACTTCATTAAATCTCCTGTTCAGCTCCTCACATACCTCCTGATCATTTCTTGTGAGTTCTCCACCTTGTGTCCTTAATCTGATCACCTGGTCTTTGACTGTTGTCTTCCTCCTGATGTGGCTATACAACAGTTTCGGGTCAGTCTTGATTCTCGATGCTATGTCATTTTCATACTGCCGCTTGGCCTCCCTCTTTACCTGTGCATACTCATTCCTGGCTCTGCGACTGATCTCCCTATTTTCGTGTGTTCTCTGCCTTCTGTACTTTTTCCATTCTCTATTCCTCTTTGTTTTAGCCTCCTTACACCGTTGGGTAAACCACAGGCTCGTTCTGGTCTTCCTGTTGTTACTGTTGCCCTTGGGAATAAACCTTTCCACTGCCTCCTTGCATTTTGTTGTTACATATTCCATCATTTCATTTACTGGCTTTCCTACCAGTTCTCTGTCCCACTGGACCTCCCGCAGGTTTGGTAATAGAGTTGAGGATGAGTGGAACAAGTTCCCAAGTACAATTATTGAGGCTAAAACGTTGTGTAGCTTTAAAAATAGGTTAGATAAATACATGAGTGGGTGTGGGTGGGTGTGAGTTGGACCTGACTAGCTTGTGCTGCTGGGTCTGGTACAGTGCTCCATCCTTGAGTGGGTATGACTGGACTGGGTGGGTCACTGGGATAATCCGGGGTGGGTCATTGGTCTAATCCAGGGGGGGACATGGACCTGCTCCGCATGGGTCAGTAGGCCTGTTGCAGTGTTCCTTCTTTCTTATGTTCTTATGTTCTTAAATTACAGCGTAAACTTACGAATTCTTTGTTTTTTTGTTAAATAATTGTAGCAAAATCCTGACTATAGTTATTGTAAAAAAAAAAAAAAAAAAAAAAAAGAGAAAAAGAGAAAAAGAGAAGAAGATGCACAAATGAAAACAGTTTGGTGTAAACAAAGCTTGCAATTGCCTTGATGGTTGTTGATGATTAGTGAAATCATCCAACCCAAGTGTTGAACCCATGACGAACTAGTTTCGAGACTAACAATGGGAAGTTCACAGGCCAACTAGTAACAGGATTGGCTTACCATGGGTTCAAACCCCTCAATTCCCGTGAGTTACAGTATTTCTTATTAGTAATAATGGTAGAGATACCGACAAAATGTTGAGTAAATGAACATAATTGTAGCTAATGTTTGTTAACGACTTGACAAAGCTCTTGGAGAGCGAAACGTTTCCACTATAAAATGTCACATTAGTTGCATCTGTGTCCATTTACCTAACATTGTGTATATTAGTACTTACGGACTTATATCCTACTATTGCAGGAGACAAAGCCGCTGACAAGAAGACACCCATAATTTGGCTGGGTGGAGGACTGCCAAACCCTTCCCTCTTTCCTATCCAGGATGCCACAGTCACCCTCAAAAACGGAGAGAAACTCATTATCGGCAAAGAACTCATGGTCAAGGTTCTTCAGTACTCATCCAGCAAAGGGTAAGTCGTTGAGGACAATTAAGAATTAGCTCACAGTTTGTAAAGAAAATGTCAGTTTTCTGTCTTAGGATATTGTCAAGTCACTTGCAGCTTCATAATGTTTCAGGACTGACTGAAATGAATTGTGACTTTCATTTTTTTACAGATTTCATACACTTTTTTTTTCAACGAACCTTCCGTATCCCACCGAGGTAGGGCGGCCCAAAAAGAAAAACGAAAGTTTTTCTTTTTAAATTTAGTAATATATACAGGAGAAGGGGTTACTAGAACCCTTGCTCCCGGCACAGTAGTCGCCTCTTACGACACGCATAGCTTAGGAAGAATTCTGTTCCACTTCCCCATACATATTACTTATATTTTTCTTCCGTCCCTGGATGGTGGAATAGGCCCATCCAGCCTGTGAGCAGCTTGAAAGATGACGGGTAGGGAAGGGGGGAGAAAGGAGAAGAGATGCTTAACTTTCATTTCGACTTCGAAGAGAAAATCTTGCGCTTGAGTTAACAGAGGATTGGAGCAAGGACCTCAGAGGCGTTAGACCATTACAGATATTGTATACCTGAGACCATTCTCTCTCAGCTGAGCTACGCAAAGTTGGTAAACTTAGCCCAATCACTCTCGTCGTAAGAGCGAACTGCAGTGCCAATTAATGTGGAGATGAAATAAAAAAATTATACATATTTAGAAAAATTGCTAATATATAATTATAATAAATTCGTAAGAAATGTATTGGTATTCGTCTTTATCACACAGTTTCTTTTCAAAGGACCAGCAGTAGATGCCTGTTTTACAAAAGAGCTCAACGTTTTGTAAATGGGAGAATGAAAGAAACACTATATAATAGCTTTGGGTTAACATATATTCCTAACTCCAGAACGTCTGTACATTATGTACAGTGTTTAAGGAAAAGCTAAACCTAATGTTGAATAGTGTTATGAACAGATGAAAGTGAGAGGACACACTGCTACAACAGTGGCAGCACGCCCATACTGAGACAGATCTAAGCTAACTATAGGCGCAAGGGAATCTGGTGATTGGAAAAGTCTATAGATGCGAGCACTTTAACTCACCTTTTCAGACTTCAGAAAGCCACAACACAAAGTTAACCAGGCAGTATCAGAATGGTCGGCTCATCTTAGTGGGCATTGGCCAACATACTTATAGCTTGTTAATTACGACATGCAGGATACTTATCTGGTATGGTATGAGTCAAATACAGGACAAATGTCTCTGCGACACCGACCAAAAACACCTGCCTCATTTGGTTCTATGGTTTAAATCCTATCAATTATGCATTAGTAACTGAAGCTGCATGTCACCTACGAACACTACGCTGAGAAATACTATCTTTAAAATATGGATAGAAATAAAATTTCTTACATTACATAATACTGACATACGTTTTCATAATTCATATTGAGCTCAATAATAATTCACCTTCATCCAACACTATAACTCTACGATAATGATAACTGATGGCATCCCAAGGTTCCCTCCGCTGGTGCAGCAGTTGCAGCAGCTGACTGAAGATCTTCACCAGCCTCCGAGAATGTGTGAGACAGGAGTTGTGGTGACGATGGGCAGTATCAATGCCCTCTCCATGGCTGGAAACATGTTGCTCAACCCAGGAGACCCCATCATTGTTCAGGAACCACTCTTCAGTGGGATAATAAGTGCGGTGAGTGTTTCTTTTGCTCGTCTAGGTGATGTTAGGTATAAATAGGTGGTGGTTAAGAGTTTCATGCTGAGGGTAGTGTTGTAGGTTGATGTATATATGGCAATGGTGTAATCGTTGTTATTAAAGACGTATAGTGACAGTGATGTTGGTAGTGTTAGTATAGTATTTAGTGGCGTAGTTTGTGGTGTAGAAAAACTAACTTCTACTGCTTTAGCTTGTTAACGAGTTTTAAAGCCTATCGACTACATGAAGGTCATTAAGGCTTCGTGGTACCTTTTTACAACCGATCAAAAATATTTTAATCCCTAAAATAGGGACTGAATCCTTAAAATATGGATTGAAGCAAACTCTCAGTATATATACAATAAGAGACATATAGTTCTAGGTGTATATATACCTGGATTGTACTACTAACATCTATATACAACTTTGATAAAGACTAAGAAGCATATGTAACTACCGCCCACAGGACGGGCATGGGGTGAATAATAAAGATGTTAAACTAACCAAGTGTAACTATCACAAGAGAAAAAAATAAGGAACAGAATTCAGTACGCAAGAGTAAACAGAAATATATTTTGATGCACACACATTTCTTCGTAATATGAACACGAATTAAGCAAGTACTGGAAACCATTGGACTTGGAATTTTACTTAGAATTTGTACTACACTTTATTGAATTACTTGGAAAAGATAATGTAAATTGATTTTACTTTCAGTTGCTTCCATATGGCCCTAAGCTCATACCCGCAGCTACTGATGATGAGGGCATTGTGCCCTCTCTCCTGCGTGAAACCCTGGCTAGGTGTGGTGACTGTCCAGCCAAGGTGAGGATGGGTATAGAGAACTACGGTGACGGAGATTTGAGTGGGGGAGGTGGGTAAAGTTGAAGGGAGGGGGAGCTGAAGTTGATGGAAGGGAGGGAAGTTGAGTATAGGTAGTAGTGGTTAAATATGGGGGGTGTAAAGGTAAAGAAGTGAGTAGGGGGTGGTAGATGAAGGTGGTAGGGGTGATAATTATGGGTGAGGAACTAAAGGCGAGAGTTGGAGTGGTGATGTTGGGTGACGATTTGTTGTGGATGCAGCTTATAGGAGGAGGGGGGGGTGAAAGCGAATGCGAGTGTGGTGGTAGTAGGTGCAGATGAACGGCTGAAGGTAAAGGTGGGGAGGCTATGCTGAGAGTAGGTGAACAGGTGAAGGTAAAGGTGAGAGTGGTGGTGGTAGGTGAAGGTAAGGGGAATGGAAGTTAGTGTGAAAATCTGACCCCAGGAAGTGTTGCAGGTGATGTACGTGAACCCGACGGCGAACAACCCAACGGGAGTAAGTATGAGCGAGGCCAGACTTCGTGAGATCTACGACATCGCCTGTGAGTACAACATCATCATCCTCGAGGACGACCCTTACTACTTTATAAACTTCGTAGAGGTCAGTCTTTGTTGAATACAGCTTTTTTGGTTCTTAATCTCTCTTACAGTGAATGTAACTTCGAAACTAAGAATTTTGAAAATAGGGAACTTTTAGAAAAAAAAATATTGAAAGGTAAGTGCACTGTTAATTCACGTTCTCTAATCGGTTTTATTTAACACTGAAATAATATGTAGATCACAATATTTTACTGGCAGCATCTCATATATTTGTGTATGTTGTAATATATGTGTTATATATATGTCTTGTCGAATGAGTGAAACTTGCGATTTTGGCTTAAATAGCAACGTTCTTCTTGCCGAACAAGACAAGCGAAAATTTGTGTATGCAACAATTCTGCAAAAAATATTCTGAACGTAATAAAAAAAACATTTTGTTTGGTTTGTT